CAGCCGGGAGCGCAGCCTGGAAGCTTGGAGAGCAGCATCTGGCTGGTAAGGCTCTGGTGGGGGAAGAAAGGGGCGCAGATCAAGACCCCCACGGTGACATGGGGAATGTGGTAGGGGCAGGTACTGCTCAGCCAGGGCATGGGATGGAGCCATGTGTGGCTTGTAGGCAGGAGGGGTGGCTACTGCCACTGCATGTACCCTGGGGAAGGCATGGGGGGTGGGGCATGTGCCCCCTGGATTAACATGCAGGGCAAGGGTGGGCTGCCTGCTCTTCTTTCTTTTTTTGTGTTAACAAAACAGTGCGTGGGGGGAGGTTGGGGGGAGTACTGGGAAGATTTATCAAGGCTTTCAGAAAGTGCCTTGATAAAATCTCCGTAGAGCCTATTGAAACTTCAGTTGGTATCTTCTGCGCTTCTGTATTTTATTGACCTTGCTTGCCACTCTTTAATTGCTCATTTAACTGCTCAGTAGTTTATACAATGCTCCTTTAATTTTATGCATTTTAAATTAACTCCTTTTTAACTTACCTTTTTATTTGACTGCTGTTTGTATGGATCTCTTCCATGTAGCCACCATGCAGATAATACTAATTATCTGCAGCATAGTTTCTGCCTTTACACTTCTTTACTAGTCTTTTCATGTGTGTGTTTTTGTTTTTTTTCCCCAAGCTTCAGCAAAGGTGCTTCTGCTTCTGCTTTCTCCTCTTACCAGCTCCTTGCTCATTGTCTCTTATTTTGACCAACCCCTGTTTCCCTACAGCTGGTCCTTGTCCTGATCCTTTTGAACCTTTTCATTTCAGCTTTAGCATTATGGCACTTACCATCTCCTCTTCTGGGAAGAAAACTAAACCTTCACTAAAAAAGACAGTTTACTGCATTTTCATTTCCTTCTTTTTGTCATCTCCATGTACATATTGAAACCATCCCAGAGTACAGGATGAATGTCAAATATGCTTCTCCACTTGAAGTTCCCTCTGTACCTTCTTACTTAGACGTTGCTGATTTTAAAAGGAATGACAACACTTACTGCTAGCTCTTTCTTCCTCTTTTTGTGTCCATCTAACACAAGCTCCTGCCTTCTTACTTCCAAGATCTTTCATTTGACCTTAGCATGTCCCAGGGGTTGCTTCCCCTTCTGGTTTCTCATGCGTTACGTCTTGCCCTTCTTTATGTATTTTTCTCCAGTCTGTTCACTCTTAGGTATTCCTTTTGCTTCTGATATTATCAGATGGAATAGTTTACAATAACTGTCACAGGTTTCTGTTTCCTAACTTGTTACTGGATTCACTGCAGCCCAGCTTCTGCCCCCTGTAGTCCACTGAAATGGCTGTCAATGAAGTTCTAATTACCTCTTCCTTATCAGATCGGTCTCTAATTCGTGCTCCTCCTTCTATTGTTTTCTATTGCTTTTAACACTATTAATCATACCCTTGTAGTTGACATCGTACCCCCACCTTGCCCTATACCTCAGGTTGTTCCTTCCTTCTGAGTCGCTTTGTGATGTTCGTATATGGCTCTGTCTTTGTTCCCTTCTTTGGGTCATCCCATTGGCCCTCATGCTTTTGCTCACTATCTATCTGTGCCAGTGATTCACGTTTTTGACTTGTCCCCTAATCTGTTTTACTTGCAGGTCTTGGTCTATCTTCATCATTTCTTCATGTATGTTAGCTCAAGCTGTGATTTGTAGCCAAAGTGAGATTCTTCTCCCAACCCTTCCCCTCACCCTGAAAAAGCCTTTTCTTCCTTTTTAATTCTGTGTGTTGTACAACAATGCTACCAGCCTTCATATTGTGTAGTCTCAAAACTTAACGATCATCTTTCACTTTTCCCTCTTCTGTGCTTTGCAGCTCCCAAGTCATTCAAAATCTTCCCCTTTTTTCAAAATAGAGAAGGTACATCTTAGTCATTTCTTTGTCGTCTAATCCTTTCTGTTTCTTGTAACTTTCTCTCCTAGTTATTATAAACACCCCTCTGGTCTTATAGTTGCCTATGTTGCACAAACTTGCAATCCTTCTGTATCTATATAAAGAACTATATTTCTTATCTAAGCTTGTACCTTACCTCTTTGAACTTCTCCAGTTCTCTTTCCTGAGCTGTATCATACTTCAGGTTCTCCACTTATTGTGTGGTACCCTTCCACCATGTCACTGATCCCAGCTTCAGGGTCCTTCTCTTAGTTCTCTTACAAGTGCTTCTTTCATGATGCTTCTTAAGGTAGCATTACTCTTCATGAATAGAAGGCTGCTGCTTTCTCCATGTCCAAAAGCTTCCTAAAGACTTGCTGCCAATAAAGTATGTACAAGAAATTGATTATGGCTAGACTAATAGTGCATGTCTTTAAAAATTAGTGTAAATCAGTGTCAACCAGGGACTGGCAAAATACGGCCCAGAGGCCATATTTAGCCTGATGGGCACTTGAATCTGGACCATGGAACCCAGCCAACTAACTGTACCCCTGCCCAGCCCTTCTGCCCATGAGGGTGGGACTGAGGTGCCCACATATACTGCCTCTCCCACCCCAGCCAACATACCCTCTTGGACTTCACTCCCAGCCCAGCTAACACAGTTTCTGGGCAGGGCTGCTGCTGCCACTGCTTGGCTTCCCCAGCATCCACTTGCTCTGGGCAGCAAGTAAAGAAGGGACAGGAGTGGAGCTGCATCTGGGCAGGAGTATGGAGCAGCAGTGCTTAGTTCGTGCTGCCACTGCCCCCCTGGGCACAGAGCCCAGATGCACAGGGTGAGTGTGGGGGGGAGGGGGCGCAGTGCACAGCCCTGGCAGGCAATGGTGGCAGCAGCAGGCTGGGGCCCTCAGGGCACTGGTACTTAGTGCAGGTGCTGCCACATAGTAGCGCACAGCTCCAGCCATCACTGCATATTTGTAGTGAAGAGTGCAGCCTAGCTGCCTCTATTGCTGGTGCTCCCTGCTGTGCATATGCAGCCCCCACACTCGCATGCCACAGGAGGGAAGCCCTATGCCCTGGAGCCAGTTGCCTTCCCTGCCCCCTGCTGTGCAGGTCCTGGGAATCCCCAGGCTCGGGGGGTGTCTAACGTACCTGGCTCCTGAGGCCAGATTTGGACCACAGGGCTCCTTGTTGGCTGGATCCAACCTGGAACCTGTGTCAGTTGTAACTCTGGCTCTGACCTGGGGCAAGTAATGACAGTAGCTTCAGCTCTGGCAGTGGGCACACAACTTGGCTTGATGCAAATCGCATCCTCTGCAGTGACCCCCAACTTCCAGTAGCTTGTGGGGCCTGACTGGGCAGCTCTGCAGGGCAAATGTTTGACAACCCTGCCCTAGCTTGTTGTGGGGGGCTAGACAGTAGCGGTCATAAGAAGTGGAACACGATTTTCTGTTGTTTAGTCTTTTTCTGTGACAGTAGAGGTTAATCTTTTATTTTTTTCCAGCATTTGAAAAAAAACTAATCCTGAATTGGTATCATGTGGTATTAGACATGTGAATGAGCTAGAAGTGAAGTTAAGTCACCTGCAAATACAGCTCACTATTATCTTAGTCATCTCTTCTTCAACAGGAGACTAAAGAACTCCAAAGGATGGAAGCTAGTTGAATGTATAGTACATAGGCAAGCAGCAGTTAAGTGTCTCTGTTTGCAAAGTAAAACACGTTGGAAGGAATAGTACAAACTATTTGTACATACTGCTGCATTCTAAAGTAGATGGGGAAGGACCTTAATGTTTTTGTGAACATGTCAATGACACACATGTGTGTCTACCAGAGGCTTAAAAAAACTCAAAGAGTGCACATAACTAAAATATGAGAGGATGGAACTGAAAGTACTGTAAAACTGAATCTTGTAGAACTATAGACATTGATGGAACCTTTCACTTGTAATATGATGTTCATTCTGACTGCCTAAAAAAGCAGCATTAGAAAAAGTCTAGAGACTTTAATAAAAGTGTTTTAAGGAAAAAGAGGAACTACTTAGAGTTGAGAGAGGTTTAGGGCAGAAATAATGAATGCCTTAATGCAAATGAGTTGCTTTTCTTTTTTCTTTTTTTTAAATGCACTTAAAGTGAAATCCAATACACTTGCAATACTTGTTTGCTGTTTATGCTGAACCTGTGAAGTCCATGGCTGAAATGCATTGATACCAAGTTCTGGGGTTTTTGGTAGGATTTTTTTTAATTGACTGTTCTGTTTTATAAGGATTATTAAAGCTTCATACAGCAGAGTGAAATTCACTCAGTAATGGATAGAACTGGGAACAAATATCCTGTGCTCCCCACTAGAAGTTTTTTGTAACTTTTCACTAATATGATTTTTCATGTTTTCAGCTGAAGTTTTTGGTGCCAAGCACCATCAGAGATGGAATATTGACCTAGATGAACTGTTGTTAGAACAGTGACACTCAACTGGGGTGCCACACCACCCTAAGGTGCCTTGAGAACCTTTCAGGGGTGTTCTGGGGTGCTGCACAGTTTCAGAACTGTTAAGAGTGCAAACATGATTTACATGATAAATGCAGAGATTGGAAACAGGATTGCATAATGTCAGAAAACCATCCTGACACATTGTGGTCTTTTGAGTTCTATGCAACCACCAAAGTGCTCAATTATTTTTCAGTAGTCAGAAAAACAAGTAAAAATTAAGCTGGAGTTTCTCAAAGGGTGCCTTGAGTCTAATGAAGTTGAGAACCACTGTGTTAGAAGGACCATGTCTGCTCACAAAGAGGGCAGTGGTATACCTCATGCACCAATCTTTAGAAGTAGAATGACTAGCACTGAAGTGATCCCAGTTTTTTGAAATATGAAATTTGCTTAATTTATTTCAAAAGTAGGGGTTGTTGCTTTGCATCTACTGCTCTACAGCCTGGAGCAGTAACTTTTCAAGAGCATTGGTATGGTATAATAATCTAGAAAGTTTTATAATGTGTTTATGTTGAATGATATATGTTTATAGATTCGTTTAAGTTAATGATTTTTTTTCATATTTATAAGATGGTAGGTATCAGTTAATCACCTGAATCTCTATTTCCTGCCTAGTATGATGAATTGGTTCCTGCTTCTCTAACAACCAAATATGGAGGGTTTTACATCAACACTGGGACGCTGCAGTTCCGTCAGGCATCTGATTCAGAGGATGAAGACTTTGTAGAAGACAAAAAGCACAGGTCACCTAAAGTGAGTGGTGATTAATTTCTCCTTCTGAAACTTATACCTGATTTAAGTCGGAAAAGGATTGATATGGTACCTAAAATGTATCAAAGTGAGGAGACTAAAAAGCAAGATTGTATGTAGTAGAAACTATCAGTTACCTGAGTCAGTCTTGTGGCTCATATATAAGGGTTTAAGAAGTTTCAAGGCTCCCTAATATAAAAAGCTTAAGAATTCCACAGGTTGTCCAGGATTGCAAGGCCCGGCATATATTTCAGATACAGAAATTCATCCATCTATTTTAAAGAAGTATCTGAAGATTTACTTGGGTTATTTCTGTAGAAACCAACAGCTCCAGATAAAAAGAAATTTGATTAAAATTCCATAAGATAATGATTCATTTTGTTGAATTCTGAGTGATTTAACATTTTTCCTAAGGTAGAAAATAGTCTTTGAAATGCCCCCCATATATTTCTTCAACTGACTTCATTCTGACAAGTGACTTTGCTTTCATTAAAAATTTCCACACTTTCTTATCTGCACTGTCTGGCTGGTTACAGCTTATTGTAGTCTTAATACCTGATGAAGGTCAGTGAAACATTCAGCAGTTCTTTGGCCCTCCTAAAACTTCCAACTGTGCTTGTTTTCTGGAACCCCCCCATGATTAAATACCATATTTACTCAAAAGATGACCCTGCATATAAGATGACTCCCCAGTAATTTAAATTCTGTGTATGGAAACATTATAAATTCATAACTTTCCAGGTGTAGAATCTAATTATCAGAGTGTTATCTTGAATTCCCCCTCCCTCCCACTGCTATAGCAGGGAAATTAGTGGATGGGGGGCGGGGGTCAAGTAGCCCTCTGTTCCCAAATTCCCCCTGCAGTTTTTCTGCCCCCTCCCCACTTACTATCAGACCTTGCTCAGGCTCTGTTTCCTCTCTAAATACAATGTGTAAGTGAGCTTCATGTGACAGTAAGAGTGAGGGGAGGAGGCTGAACAGAGGGCAGAAACAGTAGAGGGGATCAGAGGCTGTTGTGGATTTGACTCCTGGCTGACTGCTGCAAACTTCAGCACAGGTACTCCATAAACACACTTCTGAGCACCACTTTT